AAACTTTAGGACTGCAGTGGCTTTATTTTGTTTAATAGAAGAACATATGTTGAAAATATACAGTTCAATTAGTAGAACTAAAAAAAAAATCTGAGATCACGGACAATAGCAATAGCAATAGTTAGACTTATATACCGCTTCATAGGGCTTTCAGCCCTCTCTAAGCAGTTTACAGAGTCAGCATATCGCCCCAACAACAATCCGGGTATCCAGGTCCTCATTTCACCCACCTCGGAAGGATGGAAGGCTGAGTCAACCTTGAGCCGGTGAGATTTGAACCGCCGAACTGCAGATAGAAGTCAGCTGAAGTGGCCTGCAGTGCTGCACTCTAACCACTGCGCCACCTCAGCTCAATACCAGACAATTGGTATTGAAAATTCTGTAGAACTAAATCAGTGTCTGTCTCAATATAAGCCATGCTCCCCCAAAATTAGAGGCTTCTAGTCCCTTCAGAGAAACTTCAAGCATCAAACATTTACATGATCCGTACCTCATCTATACTTTTCTTGACTAATGGTTTCTCAGGTTCACCACATGCAGCTATGAGTTCAGAGCCAAGATTCACAACAGCATCAAGTTCTTCTTGTAACCCATCTATCTCTTCTTTGATGGACTGAGAAAAAAAAGAAACCACATGATTTTGCAAACTATCATACTAATATTTAGGAAAAGCACATTAGCTTTAAGGACAAATGTGGCTTACTTCCTAGGGGGATTTAAAGAGCACAACATATTATCTATGTTTAATAATTATGATAATTAAACTTGTATGTTGCCTGAGGGTCAAGAACTCTGATCTCTTCTCCCAACTCGATAGGAAGTTAATGCAGAAGCACTTTAGTCTTCCTCGTCTTTCAGAGAATTAATATTAAAAATACCGTACATCCCTCATAATTCTTAGAAAATAAGTGAATACTAGCATCCCTTTCAAAATATGTTTCTCATAGGTCACATTTCTTAAGCTTTAACACATCATGATAGCATAATCTATAGGAAAAGTCTTAGTGGCACACGTTTTTCCAAAGGAACACAAGCCATTGTGATGGGATGTCTATTTCTAGGACTGAAAAAATACAATACTACTTGGACTCCTTGAAGTTTTGTTTTTCTTCAAACTAGCTTACAGTCCTAGGATTCTATAGAGGGCAACAAAGTATTATCTAGGTCCAGGCCTACTTAGCGTTTCGACTAAGGGAGAGGAGGGAGAGGAGAAGAGTGGGGATCAGAGCGTGACCCGTCAAAAGCGCGAACGTCATAAGCGCGCCGACAGAAGCGCGATTTCATTTAAGATAAGATTTACAGTTAGGTTTAGGGTTAGGTTTAGGGTTAGGTTTAGG